TAGCAACAACATAAGAACATTAGTAACAACAACAACAACAACAAGGACAACAGCAACAACGGCAATAAACACAAAGCCAACGACAGCAACAGCAACAACACAACAACAACAACAACAGCAACAACAACAACAACAGCAACAGCAGCACAACAACAGCAACAACAACAAGAACAAAGACGACAGCAACAGCGGCAACAACGACAAAAACAACCTCATCGTTAAGTACAACAACAATGGCAACGCAACAACAGCAGCAACAACAACAATGACAACCACAACTTTTGCAACCAGAGAATTCAGGTTTTATTTTAATTTAATTTATTCCAATATTATTTTATTTTTGTTTATTTCAATTTTTCTCAAACAAATTTATTGGATATTTTATTATTCTTTATCAATCGGATATTTTAAAAATAAAAAAAAAGCATATGTTTTGAATAGAAGGCATTTCATATTTGAACTTAATATTTTATTTTAAGTTATGATGACAATTGATTCCAAACAAAAAAAAAAATGGGTTGATGGAGGGGGAAACAAAATAAAGTTTTGGTTTAATTAATTTATTATTCAAATTAGCAACAATAAATCCATTAAAATCATCGAATCCGCTTATCATCAATCTTGACACAATATCGCGAACTATTTTTGGTAGCCTTTTTGGCAACCATAGGTATACTTTCTAACAGATTCGTTTTTTTTAACCATTATTTTAATCAATGGTTGATTCTCTTCTATCAAAAACTTTCTTATTAGGACATATCTCAATGATACAGTAATGATTAAGCATTATCAAACATAAAATTAGCTGATAATAATAGTACATCGAATGTCCTAATTTTTCAGACTGATTAATACTCATAGAACAAAAAATTATTACTCTTTGAATGTTAAAATTGTAATATTTATAGGAAAATAAATTTAATAAGGCAAATTATACATTTAATATTATCAAATAATTAACAAATCAACCTACCAAGTTAATTATTAACACAAATTTTCAACTTTCTTAACATAAATTTGCACAAATTTTTTTCATCGAAAATTGAATTAATAAAACATTGAAAAAGATTATT